TTATGGAAACGTTTTAACAACTTAGTATTCATTATTTAGATCTGTAAGTATTTTGGCGTTTAAGTAAAATAAAAAAAAAACAAGGGATAGCACTTAAAATATTAAGTCATCATATCCAAATCAATGATATAAACACGTATAAGCCGCCATATTAGTTAGTTAAGTTCCCATAAAATGTCGATGAGGTCGACTACTTTTAATTTGAAAATATCAGTGTTATACTTAATTGAACACCAGCTCTCTCTTCTAGTTTAGATGTTGGTATTAAAACTTCATCTAGCATACAACACCTCACATATTTTTATAGTTCCTAAGAAATGGTCAACAATCTGTAATCGATAAACTTAGAATATTGTCTTTTTTGGACATACGTCATAGAGGCAATTTCGCTTGCACCAAGAAAATACATATCTTTAGTTACGTATACAAATCATGCACTCTCCTTACATTATTTCACTGGCTTTGTTTTAAAAAAAAATTAAGGATAATAAAAGGCCAATTAAGATGCCTTTTGATAAGAAACTCACAGATTCAGGAAGAATAAACATTGCTTATATACATGTGTGTGATCATATATTGCTTATATATGTTAAGAAGAATTAATATGCCGTGTATAAACAGAGTGATGAAATTTCCTCTTGGATAAAGGCATATTTTTCTCTCTTCTATTCAAGAACAGTCTTGTTTTGGTATTTGTTGTTTATTTCTTGCAATGTCCATGTAGTTTGTTGTGTTGGCAGGTTTGGTTTGTCGGTTTTGTTTTGCGTGTAGTGCCCCCCCCCCCCCTCCCCCCCTGCACTTACTATTAAACCTTCCCATAACATAAAATATTCAATCAAATTTTATAACTTCTTGAGGAACCTACAATTAGTGTCGGATTAGATCAGTTTGTGTCAGCAAATCAGACCATGCATGCCTAATGAAAGTCAAACAATTATGACAGAATCTTTATGATATAGAAAAGTAGACAAAACAAGCGCTGTATCATTCCATCAATGACTCATCAAAAGCCTGTCATGTCTATTGTGTTGCGCTAACGGTTGATTTCTACGAGTATATCAATGTGTTCCAATTAATAGTGAACACTTAAGTAAAAATATTATTCTATGTATTAACCGAAAACCAGTATCAAATGGGTGGGAAAGTAACATTTCAGGATGTCAAATAACTGACCGTAGTCGTAGAATCTTTATAGTAAGGATAATAGTCAATGTAATATTGTACCAGAGATGGGTTTGGTGTGTTTGGTCATACCCGGACATTTCACTTCGGGAGCAAACAAATAGTCTGAGAGGTTATTAAGAAGCAAATATTGACTTTAGAGGGTAACTTTGCAATGTCCGTCTAGCTAGCCGTCCTTCCAGTTTATTTCTTCGTCCAATATATCACTATCACACATAGCTTGCCACCAGTCGTTAAGTCGCTGGTTCAAACAACAGATTAGACAAAGATCGTAAATCTAGTTTAACGCTACATTTAATCACGAAACCTACCAAAACTGATTTCAGAGAACTGATAAGAAGAGTATTGTGTCATAAAGGCACGTATTTGGATTTTTGTATTTTATTTACTGTTAAAGATCCACCAGCAACTGTATATAAAATATCTTTGGTCGTCTTTATTAAATTAACTTTCATCTATTACAAAATCACTGAAATCTCATATATTCCAAAGAAACATTTTTTGTTGCTTTTCACGTTATAACAATGGAAATCAAATTAGAAAGGATATGCACACAATGCATATAATATGACGTAGAAACCGGGTCAGCAGTTTGTGGCGTTAGTGGACAAAACATGTTAATTTAACAATAACCTTTTCAAATAATAAGTAAAAATAAATGATCAAGATGATGTGTTTCATGATGTCACGTATGCAGGGGAATAACATCAGTTTTCTCCGACATCTATACATATTGATTTTTGTCTTATTATTACTAAAAAGTGAATATGGCACTTAAAGCAATCCTGGAATATCTAATATCCTGTATCCCATAACTGTTCTTATACTACAAAGCGATTAGGTCTTCCCAATAGAATCATTGTCATTCAAGGCTCGACAACCTTCACAAAATGTCAAGATGCGGTTTGACAAATAAGATGAACACTGATCTTTTGGTTAGCATCAACTTGTAAAGATTAATAACTTAAAACAGATTACCTCTCTTGAAATAATGACCGCCGTCACTCGAGGTTAAAATCATGTTTGACAATGACCGACAACTTATTGCAAAACAAATTAGTTGTTCCCCACTGTCTTCCCAGTTAGAAAATTGATATACCTAACTCGCTAAAAACCAATTCAAAAATAAATCATTGATGAACCCCCATGCTTGGCGGTTATCACAATCCCACTATACTGTTCAAGTTAGGAGCCAAACAGCCGACAGTCCCTGGGGATAACCAGTCAAATATTGAACAGACGATCCAAAGGTTAGCCGTCATTTAATCAACCAATTTAGTACAGAGTGATCTTAGAAGTCGGTCATCGGTGAATAAATATCATGAATGAATATTCCTTTTTTTATAGTACGGCAGTCGACTCTTCGTAAGTTCTTTGAATAAGGATGTCGAATAGGTTGAGTGTTGATGCCCTTCTGTATACATACGATTAGGTTCAACGTTCTTTGGAATGACCAACGATAAAGAACGTTTCTAGTTCAACGCTTCTAAATTTGCATGTTTCTTTTGTGGGGGCACATAAATGATAGACCTTAAGTGTACAATTTTTCCAAGACGTGGGCATTACACTTAGATTCGACATTCTTGGCAGTCTGCACCGAGATTTTGATCACATAACTTGTTAGCTTGAATATATTTCAAGACTCGATGGCACACACAATATAATTGCTTCTATAAACGTCTCTAGAGACTACATATTTCTCGGAAATAACACTTTAAAGATGTGTTAGTATTTTTCACACTATGCATACTTGATATGTAAGTAAATTTTCGTTCATAGTTTTAGATAACCGCCTCTCCAAATTAAAGGTTAATTCGAAGTTCAAGCATTTTAAATCCCTTTATGTATGTTTCACATATCACATGATTAATTATTGTCATTACGTATGTTTAACATGTCACATGGTTAATTATGGTCATTATAAATTATTGCCATTACTAATCATTGCCAATATTTAAGATGAACAACATTTCTTCGATGTGCATCTTCGAAATAAATTCATGAAATAGTGTTTCGTGTGATAGAAAATGGATGTATATATATGTTGCGAACATTTTCAGATTACAGCAACTCACGATTAGACTAATCTCCAGTCTTTAAGAAATATTAGTTGATCGGAATGTGTCTTTCTTGGTCGTTTTTTTCCTGTGGCAAATTCTATTCGAAAACGTATAACGAAACGAGAAGAAAATGAAACGAAGTAGTATTTTATGAAATGAAATGGGGTCTAACGACCTATTGCCCCACCCGGACTAATGAAGAAGGCCATACGCCTTGCCGTAGTGTATGAGGGAAATTGTGCCCGGACGGCGGTGTTACATCTCACTCTTTTGACTTATTTCGCATTCCAGCTATCCAGGGTTCTTTGACGTTCACGCCAATGTGTCCACGGGACCGACTTTCTTTGTCACATCCTAGCTACTAGATTGTGTTTGCATCTATAATCTTTACAAAATAGAGAATTGCAATTTTTTCTTTTAAATATCGGTCGATACTACAAATAATCCTTGATTTATTAATTAAATTGTGACTAGAGACGTTGCCTATGTAATTCACACCCCAGTGCATAAACCGAGCAGAATATATAACTTATCTGTCTTAGGGGAATCACCTAATTAGGCCTATCATGTAAATGTGAAAATACTGACAATTCAATAGCAATAGCTCATTAATCACGCAAAAAGAAACATCTTCAAAATCAACTGTTATATAGATTACTGCCTCTTAAATATAAAATCTAACTCAAATTTTATCTCCGGTGGTAAAACAGACAACGCAACTGAATTTCGCAAACGAGAAAGGGTATCAGGCGTTCCAGAAAGATGAAATATAATATCCGATATCGGGCACGACACCCGTCACAATCTATAGATAACCAACCGGATCTCAGAACCTTTGCCTACATATAACATAGGGCTCATTTCCCCCAGCAGTTACCAGCCCATTGGTTTAAATACAAAATACGGTTAAATGTGCGAACCATTGAAATGGGTATCTTATGTCCTACAAGGAGTAGGCATACCGTACCTGTAACATAAACAAAATTAATTTTGCCATTTTAAGCTTTCCATATGACATCTTAAGTAAGTATAGTACAATATGGCGCGGTGGTCTAATCCATTCGATATCTCGGTCATCCCATGGTCTAGATAGTCAAGTATGGGCTTGTTATTTGAATAAATGCCTAAACAATGATTTATATCACGTTATCACGTTTGAAACCAGAGAAAAGACCTGCAATGAGCAGATTTAGCTCTTCCATAATGCATCTTTATCAAACTCACATTCATTAACGACGTCCTTCCCATGCCCGATTATCGTTGCGAAGTCGAACCCTCCCCTGCTCGCGCAGATTATTTATGTCCGGCATTCATCGATATAACGTTGAACAAACAAACGTGCTTTGCATTGGCGGCGTTCTGGCTGCACTCCATTCCAATCCTATAAATGGGCAAATAATGACCCAGAACTTCTGATTTCATAAAAGTCCTGGAACTCATGTCAAACTTGACATTGTCTCCACCGTTGATTCCTTAGCTGCACAAATTACTGAACACGCACTGTACGAAACTACATAATTTACTTTTACATAAGTTAGATGGGGCTATAATATTTCAATTATTAGAAATCGAACAATTTTAATTGACAATCGGAAATATTTTATTTCGTCTCGTTATGTGCAAATAAGTAGCATAAAGTGGTTCTGTAGTGAAGAATTTTCAAGGGACATCGGAGGCGACACACATTAAAAAACTTATTTGGTCGTTAGGAACCAATTTCAGACAGGTAACTCGTGACTACAGCACGTGACTGACTCTTCCATAAAGAACTCTCGGGTAAAGAAATTGAAAGGCTACCACTGAAAGAGGGCACCGTTAGGACCAGAAAACAAAACTTTGAGTTAAGGTAATATAAAGGTGCGTTCAATAACTATATATTTATGTCAACACCTTTTATAGTAACTAATTTATATAAAAAGACATTAGTTGGAGAGACCAGTTTAGGGAACCTATATACTACATGTAGTTGGTGATCCGATATATAGGAAATTATTAGTTGTTAGATTGTTGCTGTTAATTATTTGCTCCTAAAATAGTGTTGAAAATCCATTCCAAGAATCTGTATTCAATTCTGATACTTAGAGAACACATGTCGACGGGCTACATTACCTGAAAGTCGTAAAGTGTTACAAGTACTTTAAGCGAAGTTATGGGTGTTGGAAAATGTAGCTTAAATTGTTTATTATCGTACCAATGGTACTGGACAAATAAAACTTTTTAGGAATCTAGTGGGTGCTTTAATCTGTTTAAATTTCTATCATCTGATGGCTTTAGAGAGTTGATTAAGGGATTGTCATCAGGGGCGGATTGGGGCCGGGAACCAGCCCGGGCCGCCTTTTCGGAGCGGCCCCTTTTACTGACCACGAAGCCCGGACGGGGGGGCCGGGGTCTCTCCCCCGGGAAAATTTTGAAAAATGAACCCTAAATATGCGATTTGGTGGCATATGTGATTATAATCTCCTTCAAATAATACATCTCATAAATCGATTAATTTAGGCCAAAACCCCGACCTTCAAGAAATTTACAACCATCAACCTGTGAAATTATCATATCGTCATATTATTAATTAACGTATTATCATTGTATCGTCAAGAGTCAAGAGAATTTAACTGGTTAAAAAATGGGATTAGTTGAGAAAATTTTGACCATTTGATTAACCAGTTAGGAATATTGAATAAGTAGGAATATTTTCATTGAAAAATGTCCCATTTTTGTTGCGGAGAGCGCTAGTTGATTCCTCCGGCCCACGCCCAACACACCTGGCCCAGAAAGTCTATCATACCAGCCCATTCCAGGCTCCAGTGATGGTGTGGCGGCCCGTTAAAGCCACTGGCCACATACAACATGATCATCATCCAGTGGCGGCGCCAGGGTGGGGGCAAGGGGGGGCATTTGCCCCCCCCATTAATCTGGTCTGCCCTCTGTTTGCCCCCCCAATAATTTTAGAAAATAAAAAAAAGTATTTGCGATATGTTTCGGTAATCAATACCTTCTACGGTGAATAAATCCCACATCCCCACTCAGTCATAAACTTGCATGTTGTAGAGCATTTCTGACAGTCTATTTTTCAAAATTTTCTTGGCGAGGTCCCCAATGGACTTGCTACTTTGGCGCTCACAAAGGGAATTCGTTGAGGTTCGCAAGTCCATTTGTTTGACATTTTGTTCTCTAGTCGGATAAACTAGTGATCAGGCGACGAACGGTATCTGGGCAGATCTTTTTATCTCGACGATCGGTGCCTGACATAATACTGTAAGACAGCATTTCCGGCAGTCTATTTTTCTAAATTTTCTGGGGGAGGACTCCCTACTTTGACGCTCATGAGTGGGCTTCGTCATGATTCGCAAGTCCGTTCATTTGACACTTTACCTCATCGATCAGTGCCTGAAATACTGCCAGGCTGCATTTCCAGCAACCTTTTTTTCAAAATCTTCTGGGGGAGGCCCCCTACCCCTAGTTGAAGCTCGTGCCTTTGCCCCCTTAACCTTGGATTTTGCCCCAGCTTTGCCCCTCCAATCACCGAGGGCTGGCGCCGCCACTGATATCATTGCTCCATGGCCGGTCCAATACCCCGACCCCCATATAATGTTCAACACACATATGCGTTGAAGTTCCGATAGGGTTAAAAAAAAGTTCCCCACTCGATTTCTTTTTTATCGGAGACTTGGCAATTTATCTAATACCAAAATAGAAAAAATTAAATTTTTCTTCGAGCCCTTTCTATAAAAACAGTAAATATTCATTTTTTCAATGTGACTTATCGAATCAATCCAGTATTTCAGATATAACAATCCGTCAGTTTATGTATGCCTTGAACAATATGTTACAACACATTTTAACAGTTTTTTTAGCGTATTCCGGATGTCTCATGTCGCGCTTATACCCCCCACTTTCCCACGATTTGCTGAAATCAGAGTGAACAGACTCCGATGCCTGCTCACTCCAAAATCCGAGCCCGCGATTGAAGGATTGCCTCTCCGTAGCTGGTAATCGACTCTGGTTCTGATCATACAACTCCTTCTGTGTTTCCAGAAACGCATATGTGAACAGAAAAGGTTTTTTTAGACGAATTGGACAAAATTATTTTTTTCATTTATTGTCCAACCGGCCCTGATTGTCATGTTAATAAATGTCGAAATATTTGTTTATATTATATTTGAAGCCAAAATGAAGACATACAATAGGCAGATGTAACTCTTACGTAATGCATCTTTAATAGCCACCTTTATATCCCATGTCTGCACCATAAAATTCTACTTTTGAACATTCCCATTCGGCTGAATTCAATTTTTTGTGTTTAATAGAATTGATCTAAGATTGAGAAAACATCATTTTCATATGGTATCATCATGATCTGATGATGTTACATGTACATCCAGAATTAAAATATATTTCTCAAACAAGATTTACAATCAAGCTTCAAAGAAGCTTGTTTTATATTTACGATCTTTGCTCGACCTGTTAGGACAGCAATAATATGCAATTGTTGTACCGGAGTTGCCAGTATAGTATATAAAATATTAAAACACTTCAGAAGTTACCTTGTATGTATATTATATAGGGGCTTACAAATAAACTGCCAAAAGTACTTTTTATGTAGGGTCTAGTCATTGAACACTAATTTCTATTTTAGGTATCAATACTTATTATGCTTAGATATTGTTTAGTCTTTATTAGTCTGTATAGTTGTGATGTCAAGATTTGATACATGTAGCGGCAGGTCATATATATTTAAGTATATGTTTAAAACTTTTTTTGTTTGTCAACTATGATTTTTAGTTTGGGATCAGAGAATGCCATACTATCTTGGGGAGGGGTGGGTGGGTGGATAGCCAAATGGTTAGCGCATGCGCGTTGTATCATAGGTCTGCCATTGAGTCAAGTGGCGTGGTTTCGATTCCCCGGTTGTACGTGACAAGGAGTAGGGTCGTCTGTCCCACCTTGTTAGTTTTCTCTGTGTCCTCTGAATTTCCTCGAGTCTGTCGAGTGGATGATAAACCCTCTCTCTCTCTCATACTATCTTCTTTTCAGATCTGATTCAGATGTCTTTTCAAAAGTCATTCAGATTATCAGAATGAATAATGAATAGTTCTTTCACTATGATGAGCACCTCAAACCTACATGTACTTCAAAGCTAACAGTTTACACATGAGCATACTGTATTTGATAAGATATAAACATATTAAGGTGGTTTTATAGCTGGCCCCCCCCCCCACACCACCACCACCACCACCACCACCCTTTAGTGCTACATTAGTTAATTGGGCCCAGAGAATTAGCTGATTATCCACTGAACATCAGACATGCCAAATATCATCCCATGTTTTAACAGTAAACAAACATCAGATTTGAAATTATGACAATACTTGAAATACTGTATTCGTTTTATCTCCCAGAGAAAGAAATGATAGTTATAATCTAATGAAACAGTCATTGATTTAATATATCTACATACATCGTGGCATCCTATTGAATGAATGGTCTACCAAGAGAAACAGGGGAATGCATGAATTGTTCAGCTACACTCCTACCTCAAGCAACGTAAAACAAACGGATAGGATTTCCAACTCATTTCCATGTTTGTCTATAACTAAGCCTTTGTTTAAGCCATTGTCTGGGATTAGAGAAGCAACCAGTGGTTCCAATCTTGACTTTTGCTATCTTCTAATCTTGAGAACATTAAAATGAAGGTCGTTACATAGATTTAAGTCTATATGTATTTGATTATATCTTATGTATTTTTTTTTAGAATAATGTATCTAGACGATGTATATTGAATTTAGATTCTGAGGAAATCAAACAAAATGGAACATGTCCATTTTTTCTGTTTAACAGAAATCAACCATTTTTCATTTGTTCTCTAATGTAACATATCAGTAGTAGACGCTAGAAGGAGATTTTTATACAATTATGACTGTGTGCCACACTTTATCAGATGGAAATTAAATGACTTTGTGTGTACACAATAAAATGAAGCCATCCCTCACCAGACTTGTGAAACAAGATGGCGCAGACGACTAAAGTATGGTTCACATTCACCATATCATGTACTTGCATACAAGGAATATAGTGAAAAGTTTGGTGGTGTTTTCCCTCAGTATTGATTGCAACGCCGCGAAATAACTAACCAATTCCTATTGGTGTTAGAAACTCAATCTAATATAATGTTACATTTCTATTGTTACTATTTTATGCCTCAACAAACTTACCAACCATTTACTCAAATAAATTCTTATTGCAAACATTAACCCTTCTCAACCCAGCCCATATTTTCTCCTTCATAGCTTTAAGCCTTCAACTTTATTTGAACACTGTCAAGTTGATTTCAAGATATATTTGTGTTCACTATACAAACTTTACTTGACCGTATTCAGTTAAGGTGTTATTTTTTGCACTGTCTGGAACATTTTACTCAACCATGTTTATTGTCTCTTCTGTTTACTTGATGCAATCCATTCCCTCATCAAATTAAGGAAAGCAATGCAAGAGTTAAGAATTTGACATTTAGATGGAATTCAATTTTATTGGAATTATTCTCTTCTGTAAATTTGACTTGCGTGGTATACATGTGAGGGCTTGGGTAAGAGCAAGAATTTAAAATTGCAATTTTTGTAATTCTGAAAACTTGAGCTTTACAGAGTCTAAACTCTATTTAAACTGAACTTTAAAGTTCACATTGATACACACATAAGATGCTGATCAGTTGCAATCCAATGAAATAAATTAAAAGTTATGACACATAACTAGTTTTATGCCAGTTAACATGAGTATTTGAAAGCTAGAGGAAATATCCCAGTACCCCACTTTATCATTAATTCAAATCCAAACCCTTAAGATTTTGGCCAC